TAGTAGCTGCAAGCTAAAATTACCAAAACAGTAGCCTAGTAGCTGCAAGCTAAAATTACCAAAACAGTAGCCTAGTAGCTACAAGCTAAAATTACCAAAACAGTAGCTTAGTAGCTGCAAGCTAAAATTACCAAAACAGTAGCCTAGTAGCTGCAAGCTAAAATGACCAAAACAGTAGCCTAGTAGCTAAAAGCTAAAATTACCAAAACAGTAGCCTAGTAGCTAAAAGCTAAAATTAACAAACCAGTAGCCTAGTAGCTACAAGCTAAAATGAGCAAAAACATAGCCAAATGTTAAAATTAGCACAACTTTAGCTACAATTTGTAAAGCTAAAATTAACAAAATCACATTAAAGCAAATTTGCCAAGGCACAAGATAAAATCATAAAATAGCCAAAAATAGAGTAGCTAAAAAATAATATGAACAAAAACTAAAATTTACAAAACTGCACCTAAAAGAAAAAAATGACTAAAACCATAGCTAGAAGCAACCATTAGCCAAAACAAACAAATAAGATTAAGCTAAACCATATCTAAAACAAAAATGTTCAAAACTACAGTTGAATGCTAAATTTGACAAGAAAATAGCAAAAACTACTAAAATTGTGTATAAAGATTAAAAAGAGCAAAACCACAGCCGAGAGCTAATATTAGCACAACAAAAGCTAAATGTAGCAAAACAAAAAAAAAAATCACACTTGATAGGCTAAATTTGGCTGACGGGTAAACCTTCAGTGGACTAGACCTGCTGATACGTTCAGCAGCTTCAACACTGTTTCCATATCTTTGCATAATAACAGTCATTGTTCAGTTACAAAACAACTAAAACTGTCATGCTAAATGTAGAGGTTTAAGACAATTTCTTCACACAACCGTTTTTGCGAAAGAGTTGTTTTATGAGCCTGAAAAATGATGCTAGCTATTAGCTTAGCCCGGGGGAATCCATTTCCCCCTTGCATTATGGTCTGTGTTCTCACTAATGTCACATCTGAAAAAACAAAAACTATTGATAGCTRTTCATAGAACATCATTTAAAGTTGGCTGAGCCCCTTTAAACTACAGGACTTGGAAGTTTATGAAAATGTTATTGCGGTTCTTTTGCATAAACAAAACCATTCTTGCGAAGCTCGTTTACAGATCAAATTACATTTTGCACAGTTGAATGGAAAACAGGTAAATATTTGCATTTCTTCTGTTTTTAACGAGTTTCACAGACTTTTTAAGAACACTGGGATTCAGGCTTTAGAGCTATGAAAATATAAAGAGTCATTGTGAAATTACACAATTAAAGTAACACATTTTTATAATTTAATACAAAGAAGAAACCAGGGTCAGGATCAAAGCAACTAGAAATCCTCACAAAGAACAACAACACAGATCAAATGAATGCATACAGCACATTTAAAAGGCTTGATGGAACAAGCAGCTACATCATTTAACCACTGTATGTAAAAAAAAAAATCCTACATTTTGCTTTTTTTTTTTAACAAAGCAAGCGTCATCCTAAAAGCACCCATTTAAAACAAGTTCACATTCTAATAAAACCCCTAAAATATCAAAAACACAAAGTCGACGCCTCATTGTTCTAATAACGCAACAAGGAGAACTCACGATCCTGAGAAACGTGGTGCTGTTTCTGTCTTTACGATGGAAAAATTGTATCAGATGTTTGAATGAATTCGCATTTGTTTGTCTGAGCTGAAGTTTGTTTGTTTTTCTGTAAACAGCAGGAACAATCATGGCCGACTTGGACGTCCCACAGATGAAGAGAGAAGTGGAAAGCCTTCAGTATCAGCTGGCCATTAACAGAGAGAAATCCTCTATCACCGTTACTGAGTGAGTATTACTCTGCGCACACACACACACACACACACACACACACACACACACACA